CACACACACACACATATATATATAGTTTACTGTTAGTTTCAAAGGTTTGACTTAAAATATTTTGGTGAAAATTCAATTTCACTGTGGCTAAAGTTAGTGAAGGGGATCTGTCTTTGGAGAGGGATAATCGTCACTTAAGTATGCGTTTATTCTTTTGTGCGTTGAAACAAAAATGAACCAAGGATAGTTATCTTGTACAATAATTCTATATTATATTCATTGCAAATAACATGCAATTTAAAATAAATTAAACAATACTTTGCCTCATCTTGTATGTAAGTTCCATACAAACAAAACTTGCTTATGTGCTCTGATAATGACTCATTCATTGTCTTCTTTGTGCCAGGACCATTAATTTATCCATCATGGCAGGACACGATGATGTTAATCAGCGGCAGTTCACTGGGATTGCCAAATACTTCAATTCATACACAACCACTGGAAGGAGAAATGTGAGTAATTATGTAACTGCATCACTGAGAAGTGTCATAAATCATCTTTTGTGCGATTTTTAATATTTTGTCGTTTTCAGTGCGTTGTGGCCACATATGCCACCATTGCAGCCATCTGTCTTTTCTTTAAATAYAAGCCCAAGAAACAACCTGCTGTCACAGAACAGTAGCTACAAAGCAGGTAAATACATTTAAGTCTCAGTATGCTGGTTAAATAATACAAGCCATTTAGCTAATGTTTCTTTTGTCTGCTGACAGGTTTCTGTTCGAGCGATGTTTCCATCAGTTAGGAGTGGAGAGAGCAGCTGGACATGCTTGTGTTATAAATTTAACTGTTTGATTTCTCCATGTTAACAATAAAGAAAAYGAAAGCTCTGTGCCCAGAAAACACTTTGATTTATTTACATTGTGTATCAGTATAAAAGACTATATTACAGAGATGTTATCAATGTATAAAGTGATTTATAAAAACCATCCAAACATTACAAATAAGCTTAATATGGAGAACTGATTTTAAAGTGGGGACAATTTGGTAACCTTATTTCCCCTCATTCAGTCAAATGTTTGCCCAATGAATTTATAATGTATCTGCTATTTCAAGCGCCAACCAATTCTTCAGTTCATTTCATGGATTGTACGCTCCTGCAGCCAGAAGCAGGTTCCTCCGTGTGAAGTGTAGGTGTACCACCGGCGTTGATTTAGATGTGTACGTGCCAAGCAAAAGCTCCTGCGAGTTGTCTTGTAGATGGATGTGTCCTGTAGCTGCTGTGAAATCATCAGTCTCTAAATCATCAAATGCTTTCATGGCATCCCACAGGCGAACCGTGTTGTCCATAGAACCTGGAAAACAAAACATCGTCGAGCTTTGCTTTAATGCTTTAATTTAGACTGCGGTGTAAGAAACAAAGATTTTAATCACCCACCAGATGCAAGAATCTCTCCGTCTCTGCTAAATCTGAGGGAATAGATGGTATCTGTGTGACCCTTCAGCTCSCCAACCATCAATCCATGACCGATGTCCCACAGAAGAACTCTTCCGTCTGTGGCTCCGGAGGCCAAGAACTTCCCATTGGGAGAGAAAGTAATGGCATGAATCGGACCCTGAAAGATTGGAATTAAGGAAACATCAGTGAGGGTCTTTGCAGGATTAGTTTAGCATCTAAAACAGCAAAACCAAAGCCCAAAATTGTATAAATTAAAACTTCCAGTTGTCTTTTTCTACATTGGAAAAGAAGACAAAGCACTACCTGTAAACTGACATCAAACACAGGGTTCCTACACTTTAAATCAAGTGAAATTTAAGACTTTAGTGCCATTGTGAAATTACATTTGAGACCAATTTCATAATAAACACAAATGACAAAAAATAAAAACTGTCAGAAACTCATGAATCAGAGTATTTTTAACCATAGCAGAAACATTCTTAGCAGTCAGTTTTAAACTTCAATTAATTTCTGGAAATCCTCTTAAT